AGAAATTAAACGATTCCAAAGTTGGGAAGTTGTCTTAATTATTTTCTTGTTAGAAAAATTTTCTTTTATAATAAGAAAACTTGGAAGTTAGAGCCTTCATGGTATTTTCTTGTAATCTTAAGCAAAGACATCTTTTTGAGTTGTACTTTCTTGTTTTTACTTGTTCCTTCACAGATTGTGGATTCTGTATCCGCTCTATGGTCAACAATTGGAATGAAAACCAATTTGATTACTACAATGCCCTTTTACAAAAGAAAATATATTTTCCATAGAAGAGTAAAAAATCCTCCAAATTTAAAACAAAATGATATGTTAGATGGCTATTTGGTAAAAATAAAACTCAAACTATTTAATGAATTAATAGTACCAAAAAAACCTATTGAAATGAAATTATTTTAGAAACTGATAAACTGATATTTGTAAACATCTTTTAAAAATATTTGATAAGGTGTACAGTGTTAGGATTTTGGCTCGTCAAATATGTCCTAGTTGGTTTAGGATTGTTTTAGGAAAATTAGAGGTATACCGATTCTTGTCCCAGAGGGATTAGGAAAGAATTTCAGTTTTCCTTATTCAATTTAGGTTTGGATTTCTAGAAGTCTATTTGGATTTGGATAAGTGTAATTTCCTAATCCACTTAGGAATATGAATTCAATCAGCCTTGGGACGTGTAAGCCAACTCTATGTCTATAAATAGGGTGCGGCAGGGCTTATTTTAGAGAGGAAAAACAGCCAGAGACAGCCGAGAGTTTTGAGATTAGTTCTAGGGTTGCAAATGTTCTGTAATCTCTATTATTAATCAAAGAAGCGGTGATTTCTCTAGGTAGAGAAATCACAACTGGACGTAGGCAAAAGTTCTGCCGAACCAGTATAATTCTTGTGCGTTTCTAAGTTTTCTAATATTTGCTAGTTTAGCCTATTGCCGTCTGTTACATTAAAGAACAAGATCTAGTGTGCGGATTATTTAACAATTGGTATCAGAGCTTGGCTCAAGGGGTTCTACGATGTCTAAAGGGAAGATGAATGCGGATCTAGGACTTGCGTTAAAGCCCTTTGACGGCAAGGATGACTTCACAGACTGGCAAAAGATGATGAAGAACGTACTAATACAGCAAGATTTGGATGATGCACTCAACGGTGAGAAGCCAGGAAGCATGACAGATGCAGCATGGACTAAGGTTCTCAAGAAGGCCAAGAGTTCCATCGAGATCCATCTCACAAGTTCAGTTCGGTCACACATCACCGAAAAGATGACTGCCCATGAAGCATGGGAAAAGTTGGAGAATGTTTATATGGGCAAAACCGTGTCCAATAAACTTTTTCTAAAGGATGAACTATTCGGACTTAGACTGGAAGGAGGTGATATTAAAGATCATGTATGCAGGTTCCAGAATTGCATTACTAATCTTCAAAAGGTCGAAGAAACTTACAAAGATGATGATATGGCTATCATCTTGCTGAGGTCTCTACCTTCGTCTTTCAAGCACTTTCGAACAACTCTAATGTTTGGAAAAGAGTCCCTGAAGCTTGAAGACGTAATTCAAGCTCTTCAATCATATGCTAAACTAGATGATATAACTGAAAGCTCTCAAGGCCTTCATGGCAAAGGCAAGGAGAGGGGGCAGGAAAAGACAAAGGAAGAGAAAACAGGCTATAGAGGTAGGTCAAAATCCAAGAAAAAAAAGGAAAAGAAGAAAGGTTGCTTCGAATGTGGTTCAGCTGATCATTGGAAGAGGAACTGCAAGATTTGGAAAGAGAAGAAAGCCAAGAGGGAAGGAAGCTCAGGTTCAGCTAGTGCAATCACCGAGCATGAGAGTGGCGGGGAGCTTCTTTCAGTAACTTCAGGCTCCAAGGCTTCACAAATTGGATTTTGGATTCCGGATGCACTTTTCATATGTTTGCAGTAAGAGAATGGTTCGATACTTACAAAGAAGTCAGCAGCGGGGAAGTTTTAATGGGGGACGATTCTTATGTTCTGTAAAAGGAATCGGCACTATTCGAATAAGAATGTTTGATGGGATGATACGAGTTTTAGGGAACGTTAGATATGTCCCTAGACTAAGAAAGAACTTGATTTCCTTGGGTACTTTAGATGAGGCCGGCTATGGGTACGAGTCTAAAAAGGGAAGACTCAGGGTAGCCAAAGGATCACTGGTGGTAATGCGGGGTGACCTACAACCCAATAAGCTGTATAAGTTAATTGGGACCGCTATAGTCAGGGGAGCAGCTATTTCTGTAAATCAAGGTATAGAAGACAAGACTGAACTCTGGCATCATAAGCTTGGGCACGTAAGCCAAAAGGGGTTGCAAGAATTACACAAGCAAGGCCTATTGGAAGGCGTGTCATCTTGCAAACCGGACTTTTGTGAATATTGTGTTCTTGGAAAGCAAAGGAAGATATCATTCACGAGTAGCAGTGCAGATAACCGAAGCAAGGAGCAACTAAGCTATATTCACTCAGATGTTTAGGGCCCTGCACCAACCAAATCAAATGGTAGAGCCAGGTATTTTGTTACTTTCATGGATGATTTTTCTAAGACGGTTTGGGTTTATTTCATGAAGAAAAAATTTGAGATTTTTGCAAAGTTCAAGGAATGGAAAACTAAAACCAAGAATCAAACTGGAAGAAAGATCAAGTACCTGAGAAGTGACAATAGAGGTGAATATACAAGTAAATGAGTTTGCCGATTATTGCAAGCAAGAAGGCATCATAAGGCACGTCACAGTAAAGAAGAATCCCCAACAAAATGGAGCTACTAAGAGGATGAACCGAACTCTCATGGAAAGAGAGAGAGAGGAGCATGCGATTTCATGCAAGATTGCCTGATTGTTTTTGGGTAGAGGCTGTTAATCATGCAAGTTATTTGATTAACAGATCACCATCTACAATTCTCGATTTTAAGAGTTCAGAAGAGGTATGGTTTGAGAAGCCGGTGGACTATTCCAAGCTCAAGGTATTCGGCTGTAGTGCTTACGCACACATTCCAAATGATGAAAGGTCCACGCTCAAACCAAAGTCTACACATTGCATATTCTTAGGTTTTGAGAAAGGAGTGAAGGGTTTCAAGCTTTGGGATATCAACAACAGGAAAAAGGTTGTCAGTCGAGATGTTGTCTTTGATGAGACAACCATGCCTCTGAATAAAGTCGAGAGCAGTAGGGAGAAGAAAGACGATGCTGTAATTGAAGCAACAAAGATTCTGTTAATCAGTTCAGACGAAAAAGCTCAGGTGGAGCAAATTGAGCAAGATGCCGAATCTGATGGTTTTGAGGAAGAAGAAGAGCATCAGCATCGTTCACCAGTTAGGAATCAGGTGGAGCAAGAAGCATGGCAGATTGAAGGCACTCTAATCCGCAAAACATCCCAAAGGGTTCAAACTTCAACCAACAATCCACCTATATTCCAGAGATGCATAGCACTGGACAAACCTAATCGAAACAAGAAGAAACCTGACAGGTTTGGGTTTAACCAAGACGAAGTTAATTATGCTCTCAACATTAGTCAAGGAGATCCAAATACTTATTGAGAAGCTATAGCAAGTGATGAGCGAGATTGTTGGATAAGTGCTATGACAGAAGAAATGGAGTCTCTTTACAAGAACTCTGTTTGGGAGTTGGTTCCTAAGCCCAAAGACAGAAAGCTAGTTGAATGCAAGTGGGTATTTAGGAAAAAGGAAGGACTACATGAACAAGATGCATTGAGATTCAAAGCAAGGCTCGTGGCTAAAGGGTACTCACAAAAGGAATGGGTAGATTATGATGAGATCTTTTCACCCGTAGTCAAAGCATACTTCTATCAGATTGCTTTTAGCAATGGCAACTTAGTATGACATGGAGATTGAGCAAATGGATGT